AAAAACAGTCCGCTACAGTATATGTCTATCTTTTAAGATTAACTCACGAAAACCGTTTTTATGGTACCTAATTTGGTCGAAATAATTTGTTTAAGTTGGATCAACATAATAATATTAATCTTTATTCAAATAAACAAATAAATATGTTGTTGGTTAAGAGTACTTCATTGTGAATAAAAAAACATAGGTTTTATCCTGAAAATTCTATGGGAACTCGACCATTCCGAAAACCCCACAAGAACGGGAACTATGTGGGAAGAACCAAAAATCTGCCGTAAGTCACTAATCCACGCGGACGGATTCGCGGCAAAAGCTAGTGTCTGTATATTTATTCTACTCAAGTCTGATGAAGTGCGAGCTACGTTAAAATTCTCTTTTGGCTAAATTTTACCAAAGAATTCGTCAACCATTCTCTATGTAATTACTACTTTGAGGTAAAGTTTGTTAGAACTTCCACTAAAGCAACGAAAAGTCAGAAAAACTATACGTTTTGAGAGTTTTTGAATGTTTCTAAGCTTTTATATATTTTAGGAGCATTTGAAGTTCGTCGCTATATTTAAGACCACGTAATTTTTTGTTTTCTACTGTTGTTTGAGACCAAATTACTGTTTGTATTCATAACGCTCGCAAAAAATTTCAAACTTATATAATTTTCATATAATCTAGAACAAGTTTATTAAATTTTAACCTGAAAAAACAATTTGAATTTATTTAAAGACAGAATATTGTTGAGACCGCATTGAATTTTGTAAAAAAATAATCATAATTAAATTATTAAAAATTAAAAATTTCATTATCTTTTATTTCAAGTACTTAGTAAGCATTTTCTCGAGGACTTATAATTGTATATATAAAATATCTTTATTTTGTCTATTTGTAATCTTTAGCAGCTTTCAACTGTTTTAACGAAGTGGGGCAAATGATAAAATATTTTATATCTCCCTTTCATAAGGATGGAATTGTGTCTAATAAGGTCCATTGATGGCATTCTATGAGAAATATTTAGCGTTACATAATATAAAACAATATTAAATATTTTAATATAAAGCATAATTGCTATTTTTAATAGTTTTTTTTAGAAGTGATAAAAAATATGACCTATTATAAGAAATATTTCATCACTGAAAAGAGAAGCCAGATTAGAAATAGTTCTATATCTAATAAATTATTCACAAAGAAAAGTATTACATTAGAATCACGAAAAACTCAATATATATGAAAAAATTCTATGCTTCATTTATTTTAAAGAAATATATAAAAGGTAATAAAATGCTCATAAAACAAGTGGATGGCCCTAAGCCCTTGAAGGACCTGTGTAAACAATATTGTTGAATGTCTGTTTATAAAATAAACTAGATTTCACGACACTTCTACTGTTATGAAACTCACAAATGACTCAAAACATAATATTATAATATTATCTCTTTTTCCAAATGCTTGTGTTTGTACTATAATTCAACAAAACCCTAAAAAAATAAGCATTTATAATTAATTTAATTGTAATATACTTACAACTTTATTTGTATTATTAAAATATAAAAATAAAAAACAATTAAAATTCACATTCTGTGTTCTACGTTGAATCTTCTCTTAAGATATACAACCTTTTTAGAATGTAATTTCATATTTTTTATGCTTCCAAATAAACACCAAAGATGTCTCTGTGAATAAAATATTTTCTTAGAATCATATACGTTATGTTTTAGTAATTATAATTAAAAGAAGCTAATGATATTTTAAACTAAACGTATCCCAATCCACAGTTATCATTGCATATAATGAACAAAAATCAAAACCAGTGGATATAAAAATAATTATTATATAATTATTACAATGGTTAAGTATTTGATTTGTTGGCCGAGTTCAGAATAATAAAAAATGGGATGGAGATATATATGTAATCCCTATTAATATTATAAATACGAAAGTAACTTTGTCTGTCTGTAATGCTTTCACGCCTAAACCATTGAACTGATTTTAATGATATTTGGTAGACATAGAGTTGACCTTGAGAAAGAACAGGATAGTTTTTATTCCAGACTTTTGAAAGGTTCTCTTGGAAACGCGATATAACCGATCTCCACGCGAGCGAAGCTACGGGCGGAAAGCTAGTGTGATAATAAAACAAAACAATTTAAATCATCAATTTATTGTTAATACGCATAGTAGTACAGCGACTACGTCTAATGGAAGAATACGTACATATAGCCTGAACTGCACTTGACTCAAACGAAATATAGAATTAAATACAAAAAAAAATAGCACCAAAACAAAAAAAAAACATACATACAAATGCAATGCAGACTATCTAATAATAAAAAATACCTAGTTACAATATACAATCAGTTACATCGATCGATATTGGCTAACCGATACAAATCGGTATATTGTAACAATTATATATATATATAAGAAATTAACAATCATCTATCGTACATAGAAACATAGCTACATCTATACAGAATGTTAAATAAATTATAAAACTATCTAAAAACTAACTAACAAATATAATCTATGTAATAATTAACTTCGACCTACATATTAAAAGCTATTTATTTATCATATGAAACTATGAACATAATGTTATGTATCTTGTTGTAATAAGAAATTGAGTTCAAAATCGAATAACAATTCACTATTATTAAAAAATTACCACAACAAAAAAAATATACCCTGTTAAGAAGACATTGTATATTAATAACTCCTCAGCCTTTTTCAATGATATTATTATTTTTCTTGTTCCATTTTTTTTTATTTCTATCGTCACAGATAATAAACTTAATATACTATATATAGATAATATATAGTTTATTATCTGTGACAATCAACTAATTTGCTAAGGGTTCTACGTACAGGGTTTCAAAACTGAAAAAAATATAAAAAAAACATCCCCATATATGGATAGAATTGTTACACTTAACTATATAAAGCATTTAAAAACTAAAATATCAATGAATGATACATAATAATATAATAATATCAAGAAATGCAGATCTTTATATCAGGAATACTTTTGTCCACTTACATTTAACACTACTTATATATTAATAATAATGAAAAAAAAATACAATTAAATTCTAACATCATATAGAATTATCAACTAGATTATGAACTATTGAAAAATATGACTGCAATAGTCATATGGAAAATCGCAATATTTCTATTAAAATTTTTTTTTGGCATTTACAACATAGGTGGGTGAATAACTCAAAAATTCATTATATATGAATATTTTTTCTTTGCTAACATCTAATAATGTATAAATTAAACATTTACATCTATAGAAACATCGATTTAAATATAAGCTAAGTATAATATTCATTAATTTGACCAATTTCAATAGCTAACTAGTTATGGCATTGAAATTCTATTATGACTTCATTGAACGGTGGTATAATTACAATATTCATTTAGGAAATTTTGAGACGATTAACATTAATTACATATATAATATATATTCGAGTTTTAATTACATTTAATACTGAACTAATTCTTATAATTTTATAATCTTACTTACCACGAATTTCCATTTAAACCAGTAACAATAGTTTATGTTAACGATACAAACTCGTGGTATATGAATCATAATACAAATTTAATTTAGTTCGAGAAACTACTAGAGATGTCGCTTTTCTAAGTAGAAAAGTCAATAGTACATATTAATGAAATAAAACTTAAGACAATTTACATTTGACACATTTGTATGAAGTTTTGTATGTGATAGTGGCCTTGCATGGCCAAGATGGGCCATTATGTTACATAGTGGTGTATATTGGCCTAGTTCGAGTGTATATTTAGTATTAAGCGTTTAATTCGAGCCTATTTATACTACAAGTCTTTGTAGTTACTATATAATAGTATATAGTTTCCGTGTAAGTGTTCGTGAATCGTATATGTGTATTGTTTTTGTAGTGTATTATATATCATGTCCAAGTGTATTTTGGAGTGTATTTTTTCGGAATGTGTATAAAGTATACAGATGTATTCCTACATTATCATGTGTTGGTGAATCAGAAAATATTTGCATGTGTGTACGGTGTATATTGTATTGACTAATAATACATATGTATTACAGCGTGCCTATATTTGTGTGTGTATGTATATGTGTGTGTGTGTGTGTGGTACATATTCTATGCGTTGTTTGCTCGTATGTGTTTCTTGTATTGGAACATGTCTATCTATGTGTGTGTCTGTGTGTGTGTCTGTGTGTGTGCGCGCGTCCCCGGCCGTGTGTGTGTGTGTGTTTGTCACGGTGTGTGTCGCAACAACAGCGGCAGGCGGCGCCCGGGCGCGGCTCATGTCTGTAAGGCGGTGCTGATCTCACGATGTACGTTGCTCTGGGAACATAGAAATTATTATATAGTACTACAGCTTGTACAACGAGACGTGATAAATAATGTAAACAAATTCGTAACATAGATTTGGTAGATGCTATTGATTAAATACATACAAATAAAGTTTTCATATACTACGTTTGGTTTACTTTAAAATAGAAAAGGTGTTTTGTATAAGCTAACCGTTAACTTAATTTTGATTTCAAGGCTCGAATAAAATAAAATTATAACAAAACACTAAATATAAAATATTTCAAATGTAAAGATAGGATTTTACATTTTATATATGTATTACTAAGAAATTTCTTTATATATACATATATACACCTCCGTCCTCCGATAATAACTTCGGATTTATTATATGAAAACATTATCTATATTAATAAATAAACATAATTTAATAAAATGTCATAAAATATATTAATGTTATTAACAAGATGTGTGTCAGGATTATGAGGTATACCTATCAACAGGCCATTGTTCTATCAACCACTTTATTATGGCCCCTGATCTTTATTACAACAGACCATTGCTCTATTTTCTTCTACCTGGCAATTTCCCAGCTATAGCCAGGGTCTGCCTTACATGTTGTGAATAGTTTTGGCTAATTGTTTTTACGACCGGCCGCCTTCCTGACATCAACCCTCTTTTGGGAATCAACATTAATCAGTGATGTCTAAATACTCCTAGAAAGTACTTGACTCGAAAAAATCACATTGGTACTTTGCCCGGGCCAGGATTAAAACCGCGCCCTCGGTAACGAGAGGCGGGCCTTTAACCACTAGGCCACCACTGACTGTTGATAGACCATTGCTCTAACAACCAATTTATTATGAACTCTGATTTATATAACACCTCTATATATTTAGGGGTCATCATTATAACTCACCAATTCTTCTATCTGCCTTGCTAGCTGATCGTTTAGCGCCGTCAGTACTTGACGCTGTCCGTCTTGAGCTGCTAGCGCTAATTCTAACTGACTTTGAGCCAATTTAGCTTCAGCATCCTGGAAATTTAAAATATAGCCCAAATTAGTCGGTAATTTCAGGTAATCATTATATTTTTTCCAACATTATTATATTTGGTTTATTAATATAAATATGACAGCCAATGTGGCTTCAGCATTCTGGAAATTTAAAAGATAGCCCAAATTATACGGTAATTTTAGGTAATCACTATATTTTTCGAACTACATGGGATTTATTATAATATTGATCCTAATATTATTGATAGTCAGGTGGAAATAATAGTGTAACAGGATATTTCAATATACGGAATTTTTATTTAAAGATCTTGTAGGGTTAAACCTTTATTAGTTTTCAATGTGTTAAATGAAAGGCTACATAATAGTAATGAAAATTCTGGCACAAAAATCAATTGTAAATATTTAATAAAAATAGGCGCTTTTGAATCCGAATCTTACTAACAAATATATGTATCCCATAATATGTACTTTTTGTGTCCATATACGGAACACAAATTTACCGTAGCAGCACACGATAAATTAAAATTCACATATGTATATGTTTTAAATCAATTCAATGTTATATTATAACGTATTGTTTCAAAATAGTATAGAACAATTAGGATAGGTACATATACAACAAATATCTGTTACCGTATACGGAAACAATTTTACCGTAACCGTAAACAGATATATATTAATATTATATATATACCTGTTCACTCTTCTTAGATTTGGTGATCTGAGCCAGTTCTTCGTTCTTCTGCGCCAGTTCAGCTTCAAGCTGCGCCACGCGCTGTCTTAGCTGTTCTACTTCGTTGGCGTCACCACCTTTAATATTTTATATATATAAATATATATATATATATATATAAATATATATATATATATATATATATAGAGAGAGAGAGAGAGAGAGAGAGAGAGACAGAGCTATATAAATTTTTCATATCAGACTCTTTTATATGATATCTATTTTCGCGAGTACATATTCATATTGAACTAAGATTTTCTGGAGGAACTGAAATACCAAGATTACTTTGTACGTAAAATAATAAAAAACGTTTAGCATCATTCAAAAACCTTCCTTTTTATATTTTTTAAAGGCAAATTATAGTGAGAATAATGTCATATCAATAAAAAACCTTCAAAAAATATCTCATTATAATTTTACCTTTGCCAGTAGCGTAATGTCTTGCCCTTGCTACCTCCTCTCTATACTGATGTAACTGCCTCTTCCACTCATCAACATTCGCCGTACTTTCTTGAAGGGCGGCCGTCAAACGAAGATTATTACTCTTGAGTGTAGCCAACTCTACTTCCCATTTCTTCGCGTTTGCGGAACTATGGAAATAATTAATGAGATCTAAGATTTTTGCGAGTTTAATTCATTTAAATGAAACTTCTCCATGTGAGAAGAGGCCTTTGTTCAGTCGGCTCTGATAGGCCGATGACGAAATGAAACTAATATTTTTCGGATATTTTTCTGATTCAGAAAACTATATACTGCTGTTTCGGCTACTTTTCAGCAATAGTGATCACGAGACGGACGGACGAGACATTCTAGTATGTGTATGTAGTTTTTATGAAATATAAAGTCGCGTAGTATATCCGAAAAATATTAGTTTCATTTAAGTACATAATAATTGTTATTTTATTATAACATTGATAGCTTTAAAATTACGTGAATCCGTAACTTTGTATACACTTGATTAATTTTTATGTGGACAAAATATGCATAAAGTTTTATTTTTTATAAAAATGCACATCAAATAAATTATCATATATATAACGCACACTACCATTGCTTTAACACACTCATATAAGATTCCTGTATGTGTGTATATTTTCACTAAATGTCCAACATAATGATATTTCTATTCTTGTATTGAATTAGAATCGATTATCGAAAATATAATATACTAAAGTCAACATTCTAGATAGTAATAAATAATTATATTGCAATCTATATAAACAAATTCATTAATAGGAATATAAATTACTTAATATGTATATCAAGTTGTGATATTCATGGAAGAATGATAATAACATTAATTTTTAAACAACTACACACACACACACATATATAGGTACATGTGTGTGTGTGTGTGTGTGTGTGTTCGAGTGCATAACTTATCAATCCAAAGTATTCTTCATCTCACACATAGTAATGCGTCCGAACATCCAAAACACTTTCGATCGTAAACCGAGAAACACAACTTTACGTAATTCCTTCGAGACGCGATATGTACGTTTATATGTAAACGGCACGACATTTTTATCGTAACGATATTTTTGTCGTAACGACATTATTTCATCGAAATCGGTACACAGTTAAACATATTACAAAGACCAAATAAAATAAGAAAATATGATTAATTATTTTAATTATGCATTATATTAATTTCGCTTCATTTTCAACTTTATTATATTCAATATTATTTATATAAAAATCTAACATTTCTCGTATAAAATGAACTCGATATTATGAAATAGTAACTACAGATTGTAAATGAAACTCAGATCACAATACCATAAGATGTACCTGCGAATGAATCTAGACTTTCACGACAATGAAATAGGATACAAAATTATATAAAAATAATAATTTTCACTCAGACTGCGTGATTTTAACGAATTATATTCGCTAGTTGGAGCGCAAAATAGATTACAGATATGAAAGAATTATTACAAATAATATACATATGGAATAAAAAACGTTAGTTCTAATATTACATATACATATATATTTTTAAGAAATAAAATTAATTCCAATCATTGATTTTTCATATAATTTGATTTATTATTATTAAAAATTCATATTATTCGATATATTTATTAGAAAGATTTGTATGGAAGTTTCTTAAAACAATAGTTTAGTAAGCAACTATCAGCGCCATCTATAGTCAGTCTTAAGTGACCATTCAAAACAATTGTCATGACTTTATCCTAAAGTATCCATAAACATTTTAGTATAATTTTTATCCTATATCTCATTCTGATATCTAAACTACAATACTGTAAAGTTTTATCAATATTCGTTCATTAGTTTTTAAGGTACATCGTAACAAACATTCATCGAAAATCACACTACGCATTTACCAGTAATATTAACTACTAGCTTTCCGCCCGCAGCTTCGGCCACTTGGAGTTGGGTTACATTACGTTTCCAAAAGAACCTTTTAAAAGTCTGGGATAAAAACTATCCTATGTTCTTTCTCAAGGTCAACTCCATCTCTGTACCAAATTTCATTAAAATCGATTCACTGGTTTAGGCGTGAAAGCGTAACAGACAGGCAAACATACAGAGTTACTTTCGCATTTATAATATTAGTAGGCATAAGTAGCAACCGGCTGTATGTAGCAAAAAAACTACTCACAAGAAACAGTAATAAATTGGATAAAATTAATTAACGTAATTATAATTTACCCAACGGATAATTTTCCAACAATCATATACTTCCCTTCATATATAGATCAGTAGTTACATAATGCTTTGTGTAATTTTTAACAGCCACTTTTATTTAATGGTATTATAATGTTATTGTATGAGACTGTACATTAATTGATGTTAAACCGTTCGCATTGTGAAATACGTAAAGCGTTATGATGTTATGGAGATATTAAATGATTATTATGTATATAAATGTGGAATTTTAATTCATTTTGATAATATCCATACAAAAATTTTAAATGGACTCCGTTATATGATTTTTTTTTTCAATTTAATTTTTATTTTAATAAAAACCTTGAATGACAACGAAATTGTACATAACGAAACTCAGACAAAACATTTATATTTTAAAAACAATTAATAAGTTAACAATTAATTATTAAATTAATTAATTATAAAACTATGATAAAAAAGCATAATAATTGACAGACAGACATTAAAAGACATAAACACTCTCTTTATATAAATATTTAAAAAAAATTGATATGAAAAAAATACTAGCACCTAATACAGGAAAAAAATATATAAGAAAAATCTATCAATAATAACCATTGAAATTAAACTACATTATGACGTCATCACATAAAATTTTGCCTCCACTTACGTGTAACAATACAGTGTTATAAAACGATTATATAATTTAACGATAAACATAAAAATATTAGAGCTCAATAATAACAATTACTCAATATATCACCTACATTTCATACAAATAATTTTATTTCGAAAAAATCTTTACTAGTCTGTCATGTTACTTTTTTGATAAATGTCTTTCAAAACTACAATTTTAATGATCAATACTTTGTAATGGTATTAATGATTTCTATATAAGGAATACGTAAAAAAAATCAAAATCGTATAAGAGTAATAATGTATGTGTATATATGTATGGTAGGGATGAGCTAATACATTCCTCGGGTATAAGTTGGCACGCGTGTATATAATGATTTGCATTCGCAACACGGTTCTGTAGCAAAAATTATAACAAAAAATATGGAATTATTTGTGAGTACGTTTATTATTTTATATATTATTGAAACGGTGTTGGGTTTTTTAATTTTTTTATAAAGATAATTTAATATTTTTTCTATGCATATTTTTTTTTCTCTAACTTTAATTGTAGTGAATTTATAGAAATAAAACACGACAAATACATTTAAAATAATAATTAATTTGATTATATTTTTTTATGATATATCTATTCATGAATTTCTTTAATTTTTTTTATTGAATAAAATAAAAATTAAGTAGGTGTTATATATGTATAGGTGTTACAATTTTTTTTGGTAATAAATTAACAAAAAAAGGTAAACACGGGAGTAATTAAACGGTGAAAACTTCATTACAGAGCACGCGATATTCGTACAATCTATTAGATTTGTGTAGGAACTATACATGAGGAAGACTTTGTGAATTATTATGACGTTTTCGATACAACTATAACAGTTTATCAAATGGTGGAAGCGTCGTCTAGAAAAAAAATGACACGAATATCGCACGATATATATAATATACTAGCTTCTGCCCCTGTCTTTGTCTGAAATAATTTCAGAATTGTAAATGTATAGCTGACCAGGCGTACCGTTTCGATTTAAGGACAGTAAATAAAAAGATTTTGGATTTTATAAAATATTTTTTTGTTGAGCGTCTTGTAAAGTATCCTATGTTCGTCTCCTGGTTCTAATTTATCTCTCCATCAATTTCCAGGCAAATTCGTACAGTCGTTCTTGAGTTATAAATAGTGTAACTGACACGACTTTCTTTTATATATAAAAATATATCAAACTTATGTTTCTCATTATGTAAAATAATATATAGGTTCGATTTTATATAAATTTTATTATAATTTACTAGTTTTATGTACGTATAACTAAGTAATTTTACGTAATTTTTATTTTGAAGAAAACATGTACCTTTAAATATTTTTATAAAATATATTGAATGCTGTCGAATCATCAGTTCAATACATGCCGAATTACACAAAAGATTCACTTGTAGAAAGCAAAAGTATCGATTGACGGAGAAAAAAAATTACAAATGACTAAGCAAAATCAGATGTGGTGACTCGAGAAACGAAAGTCGCGAGTTGGGAGTGACATAATGTTTGATTTCAATTGGTGATTATTGACAGTATAGAATCTTTAGTCTGAAATCATTTATACTAGCTTTTGACGACGACTTTTCTTGGACATTTTTTTAATTAATGAAAACTTTATTAAATCAAATGTATGAAAAATTAATATTACGTACTATACTTTTGAATTGTCTTTACTCTCAATTAATTAATAAATGAATAAATCCAACTTATTTAGATCGTGGGACAGACAAAGAAATATATATTTTAAAATCAATACATATTGTAAAAAAAAAAATATTTTTTCAAACATTCTGTTCGATAGAAACTGTATATATAAATTAAGATATATATATGAAAATAATCACATATACTTTATATATCGTCGGGGATAGTGCAAATATAAGTAACTAGCATTGAATAATTCCGCATATCTACATTGGAAGCAGATTATCAGAAGAAAGTTTAAGCTGAAATATATTCTATATTAACGACTTTTAAGATAATTTCTTCACAATTAGTAATAAACACTAAATAATAACTAATTGTGAAAAATTATATTTGAGGTAGCAACGCGGAATTATCCAATGGTAGTTATGCGGATTTGTACTATTCCCGACGAAATGAAAAGTCATCATTGAATGTGTACAAATTAAACTTTCTTACGTTACACTCGTGCTAGAGCACGTAATATTTGCGTTACGTCTACACGTCTTGTTACATATTGATTAAGTAATATTATCGAAAACAGTCATTATTACATATTATTACAGTAATATACTAATATTTGCCCGCGACTTCGTCCGCGTTAATTTC